ACAAACTCGGTGACCAAGTGCTTCAGTTTATCCTCGAATGCAGCCACCAGTGCCGTGTCATATGAAAATACCAATTGATTCACTTTCTGCACCCTCCATTCTCACCAACTAATCCAAGCTTCTGGCTAGAGATGTTTCATATACTTCCCTTAGCACTCCCTCTATATTCACATTAAAGATCATGGTGATATTACACTGCCTTGACCTAACTCCACATTCAACTCAAACCAGTCAGTATTACCAATACTGACTAACACGAGTTACACTGTTCATGCAAAAACTCTTGACTTTATTCAGTAAGGTTCCATTTATTTCATACAGTCGAAATAAACTAAATAATTCTTCTCTGTTTTTCATGGCATGCTTCTGCAAGTCCATAGAAGCCCAAAATTTGTCTTTATCTTTCTCTAGGAACTTCTCACACACCTGTTTTTAAGAAAAGAAAAGCACTTAATCAACACACCCTTCCTATACTGATCCCATGTCGTTCTTTCCGGACTTTCAGGTCCTTTCCTAATGCTCTCCATTAATGCTTTTCCATATACCTTACCAACTACTCTCAATAAACTAATTCCTCTAAAACTACTGCATTTTTACTTACCTCTCTGCCCTTAATAAAGTTGAGCCATATATTCACACCTCCAATCATTTGGAAGCCTCCCTTTCTTGAGACATGCATTTAACAATGTCATAATCCATCCACATTTTTCCCTACCCCTTTTGACAAGCATTTTGCATGTTGCTCATCTAACCCTGATGCTTTACCTGCTTTCGTTACTTTCATTGCCATTTGTACATTATCTCTTGTAATATCCCTGTTATTCTCCTCACCTAGAATTGGCATTCTCCTCGCAGATCCCACAGCCACCATCAGTGTTTCTGTCATTTGCCCACATTTGTCAGATCCTTGAAATACTCAGCCTCCATCACTGTCCCTATATTTCGTCCACTTGCAGCTCCCCATCAGCTCCTTTCACCCTCTCGTCTATATCAGACTCACCTTTCTGTACTCTTTTCTCTTCCTTCCAAATCATCTTTATATCCCTCTCAAAATTTTTAGGCAAGCAGCTACTCCACCTCACATCTGCTTCTCATTTTGCCTCTCTCACCTTACATTTTGGTAACCTACTATTTGCTATATGTCTTTCATATGTCTCCACATTTCCTTTTTGCAACTATACCTCAATATGCCCTCCTCTTTTCAGCTGCTTCCACACTCACCATTTCATTCCACCATTTATTGCCCTTCCATTTGTTTCTGCCCATTCATCTCATCACATATCCTACTTTTTAATGCTTCAGAACTACTTACCCTACTTTTTGACGCTTCGGAACTGCTTCCTTAAAACGCTCCCTTTCTTCTTCCACTTCCTCCTCCAATTTCTCTTTTACCACATTCCACACATTTCTCAGGCTTACCTTATACTCGCATTCTTTCTCTCTCTTATTCATTTTGCTCACTTTCAGCACGCCTCTTCTTCCCCTCTATCTCCTCTTACACCACTTTTCCTCCTCTCTCACTCTACCATTCACTATATACTGATCAGATATTGCACCGCTAGCTCCAGTACTCCTCTGATCACCTTCTTATCCAAAACCGCATACTTCATTAATGCTCTATCAACCAACCACCCAACCCTTAACTACTCTGAACCTTGTTTACTTAAGCAGATCCTTATTTTTAAACACAGTATTGGCACTCATCATCACTGTCGCTCAGTACACGTATCTATTGTTTCCTCTCCACTCTCATTTCTACGAGGTGCATCATGCTTCCCAAGTACTCCATCCACTGGCTCATTTCCTACCCTAGCATTCACATCTCCTGTCAACACCTCATTCATATTCATTTCCAAGTCCTCCACACACTCACTCTTATTATTTCAAAATTTCTCTTTTTTCTTCACTTTTCTCTATACTAAGGACCATATTTACAAATGACCAAACCTTGAATCCCTGTATTCGTAAATACATCAATAAATAAATAGATGAATAAAGGGTATATTTTATGGGGGTGGAAGTGAAGGAGAAACATATGGAAATACTGGACCTTCTTTGTATCATATGTCTACTGCTGCAAAAAAAAAAAGTATTCAAAGGCTTGTGTGAATTTTATGAAATAGATACTTTAATAAACCTCAAAGGAAAGAAAAGATTATAATAATAGTTTTGTTAATGATATTACATAATAATAATAATAATAATAATAATAATAATAATAATAATAATAATAATAGTAATAATGATAATAATAATAATAATAATAATAATAATAATAATAATAATAATAATAATAATAATAATAATAATTATAATAGTAATAATGATAATAATAATAACAATAACAATAATAATAATAACAATAATAATAATAATAATAATAATAATAATAATAATAATAATAATAATAATAATGATAATAATAATGATAATAATAATAATAATGATAAAAATAATAATAATAATAATAATAATAATAATAATAATAATAATAATAATAATAATAATAAAAATAATAATAATAGTAATTCTATCTATCTACCTTGGCTGTATCCCCCAATTGGGGGGTAGCCGATATGAAAAATAAGAAAATAAACGGATTACTTTGCTCTATGGGCAATGGCGAGGGAGCTAGCGACCGTTCAGATGGCACTGCTGGAGTGCCACAGCCCATCCTCCCGGCTCTTCCACAACCTGTATCGCTTCATAAATGCCAACTCCCCTATTGCCCCTACCACAGTAATAATAATAATAATAATAATAATAATAATAATAATAATAATAATAATAATAATAATAAAAATAATAATAATAATAATAATAATAATAATAATAATAATAATAATAATAATACTGTAATAATAAAAAGTAGGATTTATACATATGTACGAGTATATATATATATATATATATATATATATATATATATATATATATATATATATATATATATATATATATATATATATATATATATATATATATATATATATATATATAAATATATATATATATATATATATATATATATATATATATATATATATATATATATATATATATATATATATATAAACTAAAGAGTAAAAAAAAAAATGGTGTGTTGGCAACCCTAGTTCCATAGCAAGCTTTGAGAGTACTCTTAAAAAGAAATGAAGCTATCATTCCTGTAACCAATTTTACCATATACAGAGGCAGATGGATAGTCACATAGACAGAAAGTATAGGTTTATGAAGAAATAACCTCTCTTTCATCATATAGAAAATGCCATTAATAATATACAGTGTACTAATTCTGATGAATATCGACCATATTCTTTGATACTCCTACCAGTAAGGCCAACACCAATTATAATAATAATAATAATAATAATAATAATAATAATAATAATAATAATAATAATAATAATAATAATAATAATAATAATAATAATAATAATCCATCCATATACCAAAGCCATATTCCCCCTTATAAGGAGGGTGGCTGAGTCAAAGATAATACTTTGACTTTTTGTGGGAATTAAATTTAGAGGAGGAGATTCCCAGCCCCCTCGCTCCTCCCCATTTAGTCGACTTTTACGACACGCGGGGAACACGGAGGAAGTATTATAATGATAATAATAATAATAATAATAATAATAATAATAATAATAATTATTATTATTATTATTATTATTATAATAATAATAATACAACGCAATTGTCTCTTTGGAGAAGAGAAATACTGTTAGGACGTCTTGAGCGTGATCCTCAAACATTAACCTTGAGTAAAGCACCTGTATAGAGAGAGAGAGAGAGAGAGAGAGAGAGAGAGAGAGAGAGAGAGAGAGAGAGAGAGAGAGAGAGAGAGAGAGAGAGAGAGAGAGAGAGAGAGAGAGAGAGAGTGTCTTTTATTGGGAAACATATTTCATAATTCATATCACAATGTATTATTTTCTGTATTTGATGTCAGTACAATAATATTAAAGAGTTAACAATGAGTATTATTTGTTTTTTATTTTCAGGGATAGAGAATGATATTTATAATCTATTTTGAACTGTGAGCTCTTGTCTGTGTATTTCTATCAAAAGCTTTCCAGTTTCACAAGTGTTTTATGTGGTTTGTTCGTTTATTAGACGCTACTATTGTTGCGGCTTCAAAAAATTTAGATGCTACTATTGTTATGGCGTCAAAATTTTGGTGTTTAGAATATAATGTCTAATCTAAAATAAATATTCAACTTTTTTTTTCTTAATTTTGCTCTTTCTAGTTGTAGTTTATTTTCTTCTTCTTCTTCTTCTTCTTCTTCTTCTTCTTCTTCTTCTTCTTCTTCTTCTTCTTCTTCTTCTTCTTCTTCTTCTTCTTCTTCTTCTTCTTCTTCTTCTTCTTCTTCTTCTTCTTCTTCTTCTTCTTCTTCTTCTTCTTCTTCTTCTTCTTCTTCTTCTTCTTCTTCTTCTTCTTCTTCTTCTTCTTCTTCTTCTTCTTCTTCTTCTTCTTCTTCTTCTTCTTCTTCTTCTTCTTCTTCTTCTTCTTCTTCTTCTTCTTCTTCTTCTTCTTCTTCTTCTTCTTCTTCTTCTTCTTCTTCTTCTTCTTCTTCTTCTTCTTCTTCTTCTTCTTCTTCTTCTTCTTCTTCTTCTTCTTCTTTCTCTTTCTTTCTTCTTCTTCTTCTTCTTCTTCTTCTTCTTCTTCTTCTTCTTCTTCTTCTTCTTCTTCTTCTTCTTCTTCTTCTTCTTCTTCTTCTTCTTCTTCTTCTTCTTCTTCTTCTTCTTCTTCTTCTTCTTCTTCTTCTTCTTCTTCTTCTTCTTCTTCTTCTTCTTCTTCTTCTTCTTCTTCTTCTTCTTCTTCTTCTTCTTCTTCTTCTTCTTCTCTTCTTCTTCTTCTTCTTCTTCTTCTTCTTCTTCTTCTTCTTCTTCTTCTTCTCTCTTCTTCTTCTTCTTCTTCTTCTTCTTCTTCTTCTTCTTCTTCTTCTTCTTCTTCTTCTTCTTCTTCTTCTTCTTCTTCTTCTTCTTCTTCTTTCTTC